GGGGGGGGCGGGAGACAGGACTCCTGGTTCTATTTTCAGCTCAGCCGGTGGTGGCGGGGTGTTTGGACTCACCCCTTGCTGTGCCCCCTCCCCCCCCCCAGTGTGGGCTGCCCCTCGCCCGGCTGAGGTTGCTTGTCCCCTTTGGGGGTGTCATGGGGGGGGTCTTGGCCGTGAACAGTCTGGGTTCCATTCGGGGGGTGCCAGGGGCTGTTTCCACACTGGCCCCGCCCTGTTGTTAACCCGTGGGACCCCCCGCTGCAGGACACGCCCCATCCAGAGTTGGGAGTGCAGGGGTGTGGGGCAGTTTGGGGGCCAATTACTCTCTCCCACACACATACCCCAGAGAAGTGTGTGTGTGGGGGGCAGTTAACAGGGCTGGATGGGTCCATGGGTGTGATTCTGCCCCGGGGTTGGGGGCAGCTACCAGATCAGGGAGCCCTTGAATATCCCTGTCCCTGCCACAAGGTGGCGTCAAACCCCAGGAAACCCCCCAGCTCCCCCCTCAACCCGGGGCACGAGTGGGGGCCAAACTACCCCCCCAGGGGAGCAGAGAGGGGTCAGTCAGGAGGTGTACCTCCCTCAACTGGGGGGGGGGGGCTGCGGGTCGGGAGTGAGGGGCACCTGCAGGGCTGGGGGGGCACTTTGATGGCTGGCCGTGGGACTCATGGGAATCGCGGGGCTCCCAGACTCCTGTGGGGTGGGTGCCCCACATGTGGATCCCGAGGGTCGTGTCCCCCCCGGGAAACAGGCCGTGACCCCAATGAACGACGCGGAGACTCTGGGTTTGTTTCCTTCGGGTCTTTTCCGGGTACAAGGAACCGTCAAGCGGGTCACGGGGGGGGGGATGTCAGGGAATAATTTAATTCGGGGGGGGCGGAATTGGATCAGAACCGGGGGGAGGGGGGGTAATAAATATGGGAAGAAACAGCGAACAGCCACAAAAGGCAGAAACCCCCTGGAGGCCACAGTCCTCAGCCCCCGGGCTGACCCACGGAGCCCACAGCCTCCA